TTTGGCAGGGTCTCTCTGTGTAGTTCAGGTTGGCCTTGAACTCATTATGGAGCTCAGGCTTACCTCAAACTTACTGTGATCTTCCTGCTCAGCCTCCTGAGTATTGGGAATACATTGTTTTCTGTATTTTTGTTCAATGTCATTAAAATAAGATGGTTATAGCCATTAAAACTGATTTTACCTCGTCTGAAACATACTAGAGTAGATTTTTTGGAATCTTACAAAATTTGGACTATAGTTGAATAGGATGTTTAAAATTGTCAGTAAAATTGAGAGCTGGTAATATAGCTCAGTGGATTAAGTGCGTGCTTAGGGGTGAGCACAGGAGCTAGGGTTTCATCCCTGGCACAACATGTGGTGTTGGGCCTGCCCTGGGGCGTGCTGATCTGGTGATGGAGTCTGCGCATGGTGGCCCTAGAGAGGCAGAAATCAGGAGGGTCACTACGAGTCCAAGCTGCATAGTGAGACCCTGCAAACAAACAAACAAAAAAATTCAGTAAAATAGAAAACAGGTCAGGTGATTGGGGCCTGAAGCTTATGTGGACTGTACTTTCTCTTTGCTCTCTGTTTTTCATGTGCAGTCAGATTTACATGTTCTCAGTCTGGCATCATTGCGGGAGGTAGGAGGGTCCAATTTTGTATACTCCAGAGTTAACATAGAGTGAGATTATCCAACAGCTATAACAACATCTCACCTTGTAAGACAACAACTCCTTTTTATTTTTTTATGTATTTGGTAAAGGGTTTCCCTGTGCTGATCTGATGATCTTCCTGTCTCAGCTTGCCCAACACTGGTATTACAGGTATGCGCCTCTATGCCCAGACTCTGTGGCTGACTTAGCCCGCCCTGGAGGGTGGCACCCACCTGGCATGTCATGCCGGGGATTGAACCATGGTCCCTGTGCTTCCCTAAGCAGGGGCTTAGAAAGCTGAGGTATCTCGCTGGCCCCAAGTCAAAAGTTTCTTGACCATTTTATAAATCTCATTTTCATAGGACAAAAATGAAGAAGATACATGACAAAAGTTGTTCAGTAATTGTCAATATCAAGGGGAATCTTTAAAGATTTGTTTTTTCTTAACTGGGAAAAAAAAAGTATATATTTAGAATTAGCCAACTGGACTCAGTTTAGATGATCCCAATTTTGTTGGCAACACCCAATGCATCATAATCGGGAGCCAGTCGAACATACGCCTTCTCTCCGTCAGGCCTGATTAGGGTATTGACCTTGGCAACATCGGTGTCATAGAGCTTCTTTACAGCTTGTTTATTTGGTGCATATTGGCTTTGACATCCACAGTGAACACGAGCCTATTGTTGTCCTCAATATTTTCATGGCTGACTCTGTGGTCAGGGGGGTCTTGATGATGGCATAGGGATCAAGCTTGTCTCTCCTGGGGGTGCTCTCCTGACCTGCAGTGTTTTGGCACAGTGTCCTGGGATGCTGGAAGCTGGGTGATGTTTGTGTCTTCTTTTTGTGGCTGTGGTTGCCTTTCAGCACAGCCATCTTGGCCTTGAAAGCTTTTACTTTAACTTCAGCTTTGGGAAGGGTAGGGGCTTCCTTCTTCCCCTTTGGTACTGTCTTCTAAACAATTTTTAAAATAGTCACTCCCCATAATGAAGATAAATGATTTATTTTATTTTATTTTTTTAGTGTAGCTTGCTTCAGTATTCACTGTTTAAGCTGACTGAACTCATGGTGATCCTCCTGCCTCAGCCTCTCAAGTTCTGGGATTATACCTAGTTTTTTCTGTTCTATGTCTTCAAAAGGGAAATGATCACTTTTCTGCCCGCTCCCCCCCTCCCGCTGAGCGCCGCTCTGGCTGCACATCGCTCTCTCTGAGCTCCCGGCTCCTGCTAAGCTTGCGTGGCCGCTGCCTCCCTCAGCCACCATCATGATTATCTACTGGGACCTCATCAGCCATGATGAGATGTTCTCCGACATTTACATGATCTGGGAGATTGCGGACGGGCTGTGCCTGGAGGTGAAGGGCAAGATGGTCAGTAGAACAGAGGGTGCCATTGACGACGCGCTCATTGGTGGCAGTGCATCCACTGAAGGCCCAGAGGTGAAGGCACCGAAAGCACAGTAGTCACTGGTGTAGATATTGTAATGAACCATCACTTGCAGGAAACCAGCTTCACAAAAGAGGTCTACAGGAAGGCCATCAAGATTATATGAAATCAATCAAAGGCAAACTTGAAGAACAAAGACCACGAAGAGTAAAACCGTTTATGATGGGGGCTGCAGAGCAAATCAAGCACATCCTTGCTAATTTCAAAAACTATCAGTTTTTTATTGGTGCAAACATGAATCCAGATGGCATGATTGCTTTCCTGGACTACTGTGAGGATGGTGTGACCCCATTTATGATTTTCTTTAAGGGTGGTTTAGAAATGGAAAAATGTTAATGATTTGATGGTAACCTTGGATCCATCACTTGTCATAACTGGCTGCTGCTTGTCATCTGCACAACACCAGGATTTTAGACAAATGGGACTGATGTCATCTTGAATGCTTCGTTTATTTTGACTGTGATTTATTTGGAGTCTAGGCATTGTTTTTTAGGGAAAAAACACGTCATGTGGTTGTCTAAAAATAAAGTGCATTTAAACTCATTTGAGAGAATGCCTCTTAGT